TAAGGGTGTTCGGCATCTTGTGCTTACTTCCTTGCGTACGGATGACAGCTGCGTATGACTTAATTTACTTTCTGGTGCGTACACTCCCAGAGATAGTTGTAAGCACTGTGAAACTGCCTCGAGGGTGCTTGATCAATTTATCACAACGTGGTGCGACCATCCCCCTTGTGCGGAGTGAGGGTTCGCCACCCTGCACAACATGCTCCACTCGACCACCATTATGGTTACCGCCAAAAAAAATAAAACGGAGGCAAAAAAAAAACGGTAACCTGGTTGCCGAGTTGACGAGGTGAATTTGCTTGTTTTACAACGTCGTTGCCAAGCGACGAAAACCCAACCCCGATGGTAAACACCGGAGGGGGCGAAGGGGGGGGGCAATCCCATGAGAAGGGAACATGGATAGGACGCTTGGTGCAACGAGTACTTTGCTCGCCCGTGGGGTTTGGGTCGGGGAAAACGCGTCCAATCGACGTCCCACAGCGGTCCCATGGGTCGCATGGGGGTCCTCTGAGTCGTCCCACGCGTACCTTCAGGTGGGGCATGCGGTTGTTGTTCGTATCCCACGTGGACGCCCATGGGACGTGTGGGACGGCCAGTATGACGTCCCCGTTGGGACGGGCGAATGGGACGTCCAGCGCGTATAAATTGCAGTCCCACGCCGTCCCATTCGTCGCGTGGGCGTCCTACGGACCATCCCACGCTGGCCATGAGTCGCCGCCATGGGACACGTGGGACGTCCCATCTGAAACACCAAACCGCCAGTACTTCGATCATATTCTGGGCCGTTGTCACCACCGCTAACTGGACTTTCGTTTACTAGAGATGAATTTGTTTCAACCGACGTGAACATGTTCCTATTCACGATTTCCGAAACATTTGAATAGATGTGCATGCGTGTAGCTGATGTGAGCGCGAGACCCTTCGTGCAAGTATGGTGCCAAAGTTTTGATTTCCTAAACATGTGAAAAGATGTGCGTGCGTGTAGCTGATGTGAGCCTGAGACCCTTCGTGCAAGTATGGTGCCAAAGCCTTAAGATTTTGAGATGGTTGCGTCTCGTTTTCATAGTATCGCACAACGGCTGGATCCGAAATGCCGGCTAGCTCCGCAATCCAAGAGAGGTGGGTGGCTGAGCTAAAAACAGAATGACTGCATGCGTGCTCCTCTCAGCAGATAGATGTCGCTGGCAACTCTTTGAAGTGCAGATTTCTGGCTCATCGGAATTTGATTCCCAGTTTTTCCGTTGTCACCTGGGTGTATGGGAATTTTTATGAAAGGTGTACAGAAATCGATTATCCTAATTGCATCCTGTCGAAGCGATCAGCATTCATCCAAGCGGTCCAAGCAGATCCGAAGTGCTCTAGGAAGTAGTCGTTGTCCTGCGCGCACAGGATGGACTGAGCCTTGAACTCGGCGTCCCAAACCAGGGCTAGGTCTGTAGCGAGGACATACACCCCCGACTTGCCGACGGCCTGGTACTCCGTGCCGTCCATTCCGTCCACCTCCTACCAGGTCTCGGTGAGCATGAGGGTGAAGAGGGTGTTCGACAATAGTGACGACGCACGAAGGCCAGAAACTTCAAAGAGGCACAAACAAACAAGTTAGGACGGAACCACGAGATGAAACAGCGGCACAGCACTGAATTTTCGGCGCTGGGACGCTCCGCCCCACACTATTTTAGACCCGGGCGGCGGCACTCACATGCCAATATTCGTCCCCAACCGGGGGACGGCATTGGCATGCACAGAAACTTCCTGGCAGTGCTCGAAATTACCTCTGCGGCGCAAAATCCGCTAGAGTCCGCTGGGTCACAAACGTTGTTGCAAGCGTGCTGATTCATGGAGAACGAGCTTGCATCCATCAAACATGAGATACCCACAATAAGACAGACTGCGACAGACGCAGGATGGATCAAGAAGGTTGCACCGAACATACGCCGGTTTTCACTTGCACGTCGCAAGGAAAGTGGCATCGGTTTTACTCTATTGCAAAGCTCTTTTCATTCAATCAGCCGTCTGTCAGAACGATCTAACGCCCTACCAGAACATCGGAACAGCACCGACATATACCTGCATCATCTTCCGTGTAGGAACCGCTGTATCCAAGGGCGTTCATGATGTAAGAACTGCGAGGGCGCCCCGCAAGCGCCACCATCTGCGCCACCTGCTCGATGACGGGAACGAAACGACAATTTTAATGGCAGTGAGACCATGTTTACCGAAACCGTGGAAGAAGCTTAGTTTAGCAGCCCCGCGCAACATCATACTGGGTGTTGCCTACAATCCAGAACCGTCGACTCGTTGGACCCGACGCGGCAGAAGTAGCTAGAGAAGAATAAATGTTCCCGCCGAACTAGAAGCATTGAAATTGCCATTCGCCACGACACGTAAGAAACGCGGGTACATACGCATTTGAAAACGCCGAAATGATGAAAGGACCAAAGCCCTCTCGGACACGCCATGAATTTGGATGGGTGTTTATATGTTTTCGGTTTTGGGGACGCAATGTCTAATGAGCACTCACAGGCGGGAATCTTCATGCGGTCGCGTACTCCGACGATGACGCCGTCGTACTCGCGTGTGGCTCTCGAGTATATCGAGGAGTTCGTGGTTGGGATCGTCCTCCTCCGCGTCGACGCGACCCTTGCAGTATGATAGATTGGGGACAGAGCCGCCCTCCTTGAGGGAGACATGGCCAGCCAGGACGATCAGGTCGGCGAAGAAGATGTCCGGGTACTCATCCTTCACGGGCTGCAGCAGGTCGCATCCATAGATTGGATGGGATATGCAACGTGATGGGAGTGGAAGAGAACGTGGAGGGGATCGATGGTGGACTTCGTGTGGAGCTTTGTTTAAGAGGCGCGTGTCTTGGTGCCCAAGCAAATCTAGCCTGGCGCCCTTAAATGTATCCACAGCGATCAATCTCCAACTCCCAGGGCTGTATCGTAAGGTTGCCAGTCAGCGCACAGGGGTGCGATCGATTTTTCAAAGCGTTATTCCTCCACAACCAGGAGGGTGCGAGCGTCAACTGATGCTTCTCAGGAAAGCTCTCGACGAGATATTCCTTATCCGCCCTGTTCGACAGTGGTAACCTCCTGGTTGTGGAGAAATTACGATTTGAAAATCGTTCGCACCCCTGTGCGCTTACTCACGACCACTGCGGGACAAAGCCATCCTCGCTCAGAGGACCAAGTCACATGCGGTATAATGCAACTTCCCGGCACTCAATAACGCAGAGAAGGACATAACATCGCCCAACAACGCACGGCACTCTCACGAACGGGGCCTGTGAGACAAGCTCACCGTGCTCAAGCCCGCGTTGCTAGTCCACTCGCTGTGGAGCGGGAACCTGATCCTGGCACCGTCGCAGCCCCCCCCGGTGTAGTCCGTAGACCGGAAGGTAGACGCGCACTGGTAGGCCAGGGTCAAAAACAGGGACGCGTGCGTTGAATCCGCCTCCAGGATTTGACCGATCCCTCGCGTGTAGCTCGAGAGGACCGTCGGCGTGTCGGGGAGCGGGCGTTGGAAATCTTGCGGGAGGGGGACATCGGTGCCGACGCAGCGCGTGTGCGGGCCCATGTCGGGCGTGACGAGTTTGTACCTGTCGGGGGGACGTTGAAATGAAGACCAGACCCACAAGGAAACTAGCCAGCGCGGCGGTAGCTGTCGTATTTCACCAACGGTATTGTTAACTGCCGGTGGAAAGTCACTCCTCGGACGAAGGGGTCGAACACATGGTAGGGCACAAGGTACAAAGACCCGTTTCGGTGTAAGAGCGCCTACCTTAATTGTGCTGCCGTCTACCACACCGTCTCACGCTAGGTTACGCGCATGGTTGTGCAAATCGTACCCGCAGTCAACATTTCTTGTTGAACTTTTCTTCACGTACACTGCGTCGCTTTTTAGAAGAGCGGAAGACGGAGCGCGGGGTGATGGTCTACATGTGTCCGGTGTGCTCAAGTTACACTTTTTCTGGTGCCCTGTGCTACTCAAGTCCCCGTGTGGGCGTTACCAGGCGTTAGAGAAGGCGATATCCAGGGCTTCTTGGTTGGAGGCGAACTCTTCCACGATAGGGAGGTACTCGGTGTCCTGCAGTGGCACACGAAGGTTGTTTAGGGCACCAGATTGGGGGTGTCTTTTCGTGGGCAACCACATGGTCATAACGAATACGGCGTAATTCCATTTGAGCAAGAGCTTCAGTGATATATTACACAAGCCACTGCCCGCTCACACCGTTTCGTCGGTACGCCGTGCCAGACGGGTGCAAGGTTGGAACAACCGGCGGGCGGTGGGAGTTACTGTGAGGTCCCCATCACGACACCTTGCCTATTTGATGACAATTTGGGCCAAGGTTGGCTTCGTGGCAGGGACAGGATATGAGAACGAGATCTACGCCCAGACAAGCTATGCAATTGACCACCACACTTTGCGGATATTGACGTGATGGTTTCGGGACATGGTCGACACCACGCTTTTCGATCAAGGAGGTACTGAAAGACGTTTGCTGCAGTGTTTTGGTTGCACGTATGTTCCCCCGTACGGTAGCATGCATTGCCACGAGGTTAATCGGTTGTGTTGCCAGCGCTTCGCTGACCTCGCCGTCGCTTTCATGAGTGGAACGTAATGGCCGGTGACTTTTCCTGAAAAAATCCACCTTCGTTGGGGCGGTGACATTTTGAAGTAAGCTCTTTGCCAAGCTGTATACTCAACGAACAGACGCGAGCGTTGAACCAAGGTGCCATGTACCAGAACGCTTTGGATGGTGATGGGATGGGTCAATCGTGATTAGTTCACGTCGGGGTCCTTACCGCCGACAAATTACCAGGCAGCCACCAGAGACAAGTGGCTGCTGGTGTCCAATATATCTTGTCCTCACCATCAACAGGGCGACGTCCGAACTTAGCACGATTATGTCGGGAACATCGGTTTCAGTGGCGTCTTCTTTCAGCACGGGAATTCACTAGATGTTTCCGGCGGGGCTGTCGGCTTGAAATCAATCATACTCGAGGAGGTCGATGAAGTAATGGTTGTCCCATACCTTCAACATGCGGAAAAAGCGGAAAGAATATGCCAAAGGAAATCCAGACGGCTGAGTGGTAGCATCAGGAACGACAATAGCAGAATCACATGTTGTGTCCACCGTAGGCCGGGCACAACTCAATGCAGGGAAACTAACCATGCCATTTACTAAGGTCAGGCCAGACGTGCACGTGCGCGCTTGTTATTGAACAAAAAGTAGCACCCGTAAATCAAACTAGCAGAGACACACCATACGCGCTTCCGACGTGTACATTGTAGCATGAGCCCCCACGTGATGTCGGATTTTCGATAGCAAAGGCCGCTCTACCACACTGCTGGAGACATGTTTTTATACGCACGGAAGCCCGAAAGTTAGCCCATTCTTGCCATTTTCCAGACGTCCATGATCAGTCCAAAAGACCGCTAGGACATGACACCCTGGACGTAGCCTTCAGAAACGAACACTGCTGTGCCGCTTCAACATAATGGTTGCCAGTCCTTGAACATTACGTCCTCCGACCTCGGTCTTCGAGGCCGGGGTGCGGGGGGAGGCGTTTGCCCAGCCCCTCCATATATCGTCAAATGACCGGTATGGTATCGCAACTGCACACGACGTACCGTGGGCTCTTCCGTCCATGCTCTCTCAAAGCCATAGGTGAAGGTGTTCTCGCCTTGCCCGAAGGTGTCGGAATCGGGGTCCCCGCACGTTCCCGGCCAGGGGTCTTCGGGGGCGTCGATGGGGTCTGCGCCAGGAACCGGTAGGGCACGCCCCGTGAATCTTTCCTGTAGACATCGAACGGGATGGCCAGCATACGTGGGGGCAAGCAGGTTATGGTGGTGGCGGTCGCTTAGCGAAGGCATGTCTGCTTTCATGAGGGGAGAGACGGCGCGAGGGAGACTGTGTTGGTACGGAGACGAGCAATAATGTGGCCATCCCACAAGAGCGGCATAGTGTTGTAGACCGGAGCAAAGCGTGCTTGATCGAACTTTCCTGGAGAAACGGGAATTTACAGCTGGAAAGGAAACATCGGCGGAAAGGTTGAAGAAGTCATGTGCGGGGAGGGGCGGTGGAGCACGGTTGCCAAAAATGCGTCAATAGCAACATTATGTTGGACATGATGCAACGTTGTTACGCCTTCAACGTCCTCATGTGTCGGTGCCGTTTCCCCGGTGAATATCCCGTTGCCAACGTCATATCAGAGACAGGGAGCCGGCCATCATAGGGACGTAGCGAGAGGAAAAGATCGGGAGACGACATGGACCTACAACGCATTGTACTGAAGCTATTGGGGGAAAGATGACCTATACAGGAAAGGCCGATTCGAGCTAGATCTACGCGACGAAGTGGGCCAGCGGAACTTGCCGAACGCGAGCCCTCCGCCGATGAGAGCCACGGTCTCGGTGTCGTGCATACCCATCCGCGCGAAAACTTCACGGATCTGGGGGGCACTTTCCGTAGATTCAGGGACACCGATCGGCCCGCCTGAATAACGGTAGCGAGTCAAGGTTCGCTGTTGTGCAAACCAGTACTATTCACGGTGCACAGTAGTTCACGCTTCACGATCCAAGGCTCGCCGGCAATGGCGCACAACTGATGGTTCACAATTGAGTCGTTTTTTCGGGCAGCAGCAGATTATTCACACCTGGGTTGACGTAGATGGGCCCCACCGTACTGGTTCCAAGAGGAACTTCGCACGTTCCGTTCACGGCGCAAGGAGCAGTCGCCTCCTGCTCAAGGTGGTTTTCACATTTTTTACAATTTTAGGTGCCACCATATCGGTGTCGATACTGGTTGTTCTTGTTGTCACGATCGAGAATCGAACGCATTATCGACCACCTCTCGAGTTCAGATTATGGTATTCACACCCCCCCCCGTTTCAGCATAGTTCTTGCGCAACAGACGACCAGACGACGACATCGGTTCGCAGTGGTACGAGTTTCGGCTAACAACCCTGCGTCAAACAGTGTTTACGTAGAGCACCAACCGTTTTGACTGCTCTCGATGTATCGACCTAACGAAAAAACTTCTCCTGGTCCAAAATATCGAACAAAATTAAATAGGTTGAGCAGGTCCCATGAAAACCAGACCGCCGAGTCAGCTGGAACGATGGGAGCGAAAAAGACCGACAATGGTGGTTGCGGACGAAACGGTCTCATCCCAAGTCGACGCGCACTGCAGTCTCCAACAACGACACTGAAACCAATCGCCTAAAACCGATGACCACGGTTCAACGGCACGGCGTTTCCCGAAGAACGAAAATTCGGGACGGCCCCCCGTGTCGGGCTCCGCACCTGTTCCTCACTCGGTCCGAGTTCGAGACTGTCGTAGCCGGAGAAGTCATCCTGCCTACCAGCGCAGAATTCCAGGATGGGACCCCCCATGCTCGAGATGGCCATGTCTCCCGTGAGCGTGATGAGGTCTCCCCACGAGATCGCGTCGCCGTACTTGAGCGTGATGGGCGTCAGGAGGGTCAGGGCCTGTTGGTTTGTACCGCTAAAGGCGACGCGCGCGCGGGGGAGGGGGGGTATACTCATAGTCGTACATGCCGTAGTTGTTAGGCCATTGACCTCGTATCCCTAAAAAGCCGAGAGAGGAGCACGCCGGGCTCTCAACGGACCAGGCTCTCACATCACCAAGCGCGAAGCGCCGTGAGGTATTCGGCGAGTCGCATGAAGGGTGCGCTGCATCCTGCTAAGGGTGTTCGGCATCTTGTTCTTACTTCCTTGCGTACGGATGACACTAAATTTGTTTTCTGGTGCTTTCACTTCCAGAGACAATTGTATGCACTGTGTAACTGCCTCGAGGGTGCTTCACCAATCGTGCGATTATCCCATTTGCGCGTAGTTAGCGTTCTCGACCCCGCACAACATAATCATCTCGACCACCATACATGGTTACCGCAAAAAAAAAGCGGTAACCTGGTTGCCGAGCTCACGAAGTGGTCGGCTTGTTTCACAACATCCCTGCCAAGAGACGAAAACCCAACCCTAATTGCAAACACCGGCGGGGGCGGCTTGTTCTACAACGTCGTCGCCAAGCGACGAAAACCCAACCCCGATGGCAAACACCGGGGGGGGCGGCTTGTTTTACAACGTCGTTGCCGAGCGACGAAAACCCAACCCTAATTGCAAACACCGGCGGGGGCGGCTTGTTCTACAACGTCGTCGCCAAGCGACGAAAACCCAACCCTAATTGCAAACACCGGCGGGGGCGGCTTGTTCTACAACGTCGTCGCCAAGCGACGAAAACCCAACCCTAATTGCAAACACCGGCGGGGGCGGCTTGTTCTACAACGTCGTCGCCAAGCGACGAAAACCCAACCCTAATTGCAAACACCGGCGGGGGCGGCTTGTTCTACAACGTCGTCGCCAAGCGACGAAAACCCAACCCTAATTGCAAACACCGGCGGGGGCGGCTTGTTCTACAACGTCGTCGCCAAGCGACGAAAACCCAACCCTAATTGCAAACACCGGCGGGGGCGGCTTGTTCTACAACGTCGTCGCCAAGCGACGAAAACCCAACCCTAATTGCAAACACCGGCGGGGGCGGCTTGTTCTACAACGTCGTCGCCAAGCGACGAAAACCCAACCCTAATTGCAAACACCGGCGGGGGCGGCTTGTTCTACAACGTCGTCGCCAAGCGACGAAAACCCAACCCTAATTGCAAACACCGGCGGGGGCGGCTTGTTCTACAACGTCGTCGCCAAGCGACGAAAACCCAACCCTAATTGCAAACACCGGCGGGGGCGGCTTGTTCTACAACGTCGTCGCCAAGCGACGAAAACCCAACCCCGAGGGGGGGGGGGGAGGGCAATGATGTCGAGGAGTTCGTTGCAAAAAGACCGGGAGGGTTTGTCGGTTCTGAAAAATCAGGACGTGCGGAACAATCCGCCGACTGCGAGGCAAGGCGCGGAAATTCCCTTGTCCAGGTTGGTGTTGTCAGCCCAGCCGTGCTCCGGGAAGAAGCGGATTCTTCCGCCATCACAGCCCCCTCGCCCGTCGGAATTGCGGTAGCTGCCTGCGGGTGCAGGCAGTCGGTAACGGGCTGTAGGTAGCCTTCGGCAGATGTGTGGTATAGCCTTCGGCAGATTTGTAGATGGTTTGGATACGTTTGACTGTACTCCGTGCAAGCTTTCGAGGAAACGACTACGACATGTGCGCTTAAATGGAACGATCGAAAGGTTCAGATTTATGATCCTGGGCCAGCCTTACCACGACCTGGTGTGCATACAGTTGCATCACAACCTGATAAATGTGGGGCCAAGAATGCACAGATGGATGTTCCGAAACTGTGATATCGTGGGTATCTGGAGAATTGTCCAGTGTCTCTGTGTTTGAGGCGCGTGGTCGTCACTTGCTTAGACGGGGCGCATGGTGCACCCCGAACAATAAAAAAAAGGGAGATAGAGGAGCGACGAATCAAATGCTGTGCTGTGGTGCATCTTTCGGCGGGATGGGCACGGACATATGTATTGCATAACGTCGCCGATGGGCGCACGAACTCCGAAAAGTGCCAGTCGTCCTCAACAACAATCTGCTCTGCACACAAGAATACTGCAACCTGCGTTTACATGTTGGGGTAATGTTAAGTACTACTGTACTGTTGGGCGAAGAAGAAATTGCGTACCCTCTAGGGTGAAGTGACCGGCACCTTAGCGACCATAAACTGTTGATTGGGGTGTCAGTAGAGACGCTTTGCTTGGTTCTGGTTTCGGCTAGAGCAATGCTACGGTAGGGGGGACACTGTTTAAGGCATGGGTCACATGCTGTCGCCCGACAAGGTCCATATAAAAGCTCGTAACTCTAAATTTTTCAAGGAAGTCAAATCTCCCGAGGCAGTCGCCTGGCGGCGTATATCTCGCGGTGTGCAAAACAATAAGCATTTTTTTCCATTAGTTGAGGCAGTACACACCAGTCCGCCAAAACACTCCATGTGACCGAGGGGGTACCCCCTATCGTAGCATCACTCGCTACCTTTGCTGATACCCGCTCTTCGCTGGAGGTCCTGCACGTATTGTACTTCTGCGATATGGTCTCGTGCTGAGAGAGCAACCCAAACAACGAGCTCTGAACTTCACCACTGGGTTTGGCAGTTGAACCATAAGGAAATCATAGGCTACCTGTACGATCGACAATGAACCCCTAGACTATAGCTACGCCGCCAATGATGTCACGACGGCGCAATGTCTGTCCCTACCGGCGCGGTGCTAAGCAAGGCGAATCATCAAACGGGCGTAGTTGCCGAAATCGGCCGGCCAGAAGTCCCTGGGGTCGACGAACACAACCAAGATGTCGGCCTTGATGGCTTCATATGTCTCTCGGGAGTAGTCGGCGCGTTCTTCACAACTGCTGCCGGTGGAGAGGAGGCCTTCCCCACCAATGTGGTTGTCAAGTAGCTGCTGGTCCTGTAAAATTGGCCGAAACATGGTAAGGGAGTCGGGTGTTGTCGTTTATTGTTATATTGATCTGTCTGTGTGTACGAAATGCCACACCTTTCCTCCCGTATTCTGTAAGAGCGGTACAGCAATCAGCCATGGATTTTATCTCGTGCCCGGTCCTTATCTTTCTTGACCCTACCTGTCTTCTAGTTGAGACATGGGAGGAAGCTGCTAATCCTGTGTCGGGGAATGGACGAGAAACAGACGCGAGTAAAATATCGCAGGCTCAGATTCTTGGATATATCGAACCGATCGCCCCGGTGGTCTAGTGGTAACCTCAAAACCGCTGCTGTAGTTGCAAAGTCGTGAGTTCGAATCTCTTTGGGGAGAAAGATTTACACGCTTGCGGTTGAGAGCGAAAAAAAGGGTGAAAAACTCTCGTGAGTACCAAACTTCGACGTAAGCACTGTTGACGAGGGAAGGGGACGGCTGGACCCTTTCCGCGGAAAAAAATATAGGCCAACACGCTCCGCAGGAGGAAGGTGGGGCACGAAAAGAGAAAGACAAAAGCGAAAAAAGCCCCTCTCCTGTGTTGAACGAAAAAATACGCCGAGAAGTGTAGCACTCTACATACAAAACCGAAAGAGTGTAGTAGTACACGTTTCACCACAAAAAATGGGGGGACTGTCGCCAAACTAACAAAAACACAACACACATCTAAACAAGTATTCTCAAGTAGCAAGAAAAATACAATCGGGCAAGGCGACGACCCTCCTCCAATCAATCAATACAGGCACCTCTCCCATTGTTTGTCGTTGAAACAGGCGTTCTTGATGTTAAGCGGGGGAGGTGTCCTTCAGGTTGACACTCCTGTGAAAAAGAACTTGATTGCCCTTTCAACCGGGGGAGGAGTGAGTGTCCTGAAAGAAAAAATGGTGTCCCGAACCTAGGGATGACTGTAATGCTACATTTACATTGAAGAACCTGTTTACTCCGCAATCATTTTAGACACAATACACGAGGGATGTTAGCCTTGGCTCAAAGAAACAAACGTGTCTGTTTCTATTGAGTGGGGTGGAACAACCTGTAGTGTTTGCGGGAAATCGAAAACGAACGCGTGACAAAGAGGCGAGCACAATCAATTTAGTCAAAGCAATCAGTTCACTCACCTCCTGACTTGAAAGGAACGGGCATCCACCGTAAGCAATCCCAGCAACCAGGGCAAAGCCGGCGAGACGCACCAGATTACACGTGCGTCCCATGTATTTCTCAACGCTGCAGACCCAGCGTTATATATTGGGTGGATTGATGCAGAAGAAAGACAAAATTGATGACTCCGAGGAGGAAACAGTGAAACAGGGGGTAGTTTTAATGCTTGCAAGGAGCAGGGAGACTTTTGTTACGTAAATGCCTTCTGACATTGTGCGTGTGTGGTTGTTGCCTGCTCTATCGTCGTCAGACAGGCAGATGCGATCCCGCCGACGCGCAAATAAGGCAGTTGTTATTAGTCTAGAATACACATGACGAAGCGGTACGTGGAGTCTTGAACGATGCGACGGGGGAACCTCCAACTATCCATGTGCTCTTCCTGTTCCGTCGCATATTGAAGCGATAGATAGGCACGCTTGCATGAACGTATGTGAGATACGTGTGGCCCGTACGGAATGATAGTGTGCGCTGCAACAAGTGCAGCTTATTTACTACATACAGCAGCAGCTCACACCATCGTTTGCCAGGGAGGGGAGGCATTCTCCCGGCACTACTTTGGCAAACTTGGGTAATACATAGGCGTGAGCATGTACGAAGATTTTCGCGCACAATCGACTTGTACGTCGCCCCACCATTGCCGTAGTACCTTGATCAAGTGGTGGAGGTCTCTCTCTTGCTGCTTGCGGGGGCTCGAGAAGTACGAGCTCAATATGGCGGATATCGCCTCGTGGCCGAAAATCCCCGCCGACTGCCGTTTTGCGCGGGGTGGATGTGTGAGTGAGGGGAAGCGGGAGTGAGAGGACGGATAGAGTGAGAGGAGCGGGGGTGGAGGCACGCATCATCATGGTGCGTGCATGGCGACATCATGACATCACGTCACTGGTACATCGTGTTCTATTCTGCAAGACCAGCGGATGGAAGAGATCGATTGTCCTTTATTTTATTTATTTTTGCCTTCCGACAATTAATTGCAGATGTACCTCAGAAAACTTTCACTTAATGTCTCATACTCTACATGAATATTAAACCAATACGAAGTACAACAACATATGCAGGACTTATTGCTACTGTCATTTACATCGTAAAAGTATCTCCTCTTCAACTTACCAATGACAATCCTGATGGTATCCTATATGCGTTCGTAAGCTTGCTAAAGTACTACTGCGTTGATGTCCGCTTGTAAAAGCTGAAATCCAACAAATGCTTTGATCCATGCTACATCTCCGTGTTGGAAAAGCCCTTTCATCTCCGTTCATGATAACATCTTACCCTATTCTACGCAAATCTGTCACATCTACTCTCAAACAAGACGTCAACTTCAAACGAAAACGCGTTCTACGATGCGTCTACACTCCATCCCCATATCATTGGCGTTGACTGGTCCGAGGTCGATCTTGTTCGCCTGTTTTCGGCGTCTTGACGCCCGCGCAATGCGAGCTTGTACCTCTGCACTCGCCGAGATATGGCCACCTGTGTAGCCACCGAAACGATCTGAAGAAGTCGTTCCTTGTCCTTTATTCTTGCGGGCAGCAGGTCCCTGAGCAGCATTTATATATGTAGCGGTATCATCAGTCTGTTCGGTGGCCGTCTTGTGCATTCTCAGGCCATCCATCTGTTGGGAAAGCGTGGGAGATCGATGTTGGGAGGATGTTGAATGAATATTATTATGTTTCGTCCTACATTAATTTGTATGTATGTTATGCATGTATACCTTTCGTTGAATGCTTTCATACTTTTCATCGACCGTGCTAACCGGCTGACCAATGAAAAGACGTCAGTCAGTCTCGTTGCGTGTGTGTGGAATTCGCGCAATTTCTTCAGATGGGTATATGCAGGTACTATGTACCTGATTGTTGGGTTGACGCAGAACAACAGGTGGATATTGATTGGACCACAGCGAGATAGGCCACATTATGGTCACTTTCGATGCGAGTATTTTGGCAATGCTGTTTGCTCTGCCGGAGGAGTAACCTCTTAACTTGCTCCACAACCACAGAGCTCCAATCGACCTCAAACCAACTGCACCGTGTAGCTATATACTACAGCTTTCTGCAATGCTATTTGGAAGATAAATCCAACCGGTGGCTGAAGAGATATGCTAAAAGGGGGGGGGGCTCCGCAGCATGTCAGGAAGAAGTAATCATCTCGAACCTCCGCCCACACAGCGTTCATTGGCATCAAACCTTTCTCGTCGTGTCCGCACGGTTCATACCATTCTGCCAAGCTATGGGACACTCCCATCTAGTATGTTTCGGCAGAGATATGGATAGCAGAGGGGGTTCCGCAGCATCTAGGGGGGGGTGTACTCGTAGTCGTGCATGCCGTAGTCGTCAGATCGTTGACCTCGCATCCCTACAAAAGCCGAGACGGAGCACGCTGGGTTCTCACCGGACCAGGCTTTCACGTCACCAAGCACGAAGCGCCGTGAGGTATTCGGCGAGTCGCATGAAGGGTACGCTGCCTTCTGCTAAGGGTGTTCGGCATCTTGTGCTTACTTCCTTGCGTACGGATNATAACAGCTGCGTATGACTCAATCTATTTTCAGGTACGTCACTGTCAGAGACATTTGTAAGCTCTGTATGTAGCTGCCTCGAGGGTGCTCGAACAACCTAACACAACGTGGTGCGACTATCCCCTGTGCGCGGAGTGAGGGTCATCGACCCCGCACAACATAATCTGCTCGACCACAATTCTCCGAGACCGTGAGAAATAAAGGCGATGAAGATAAAACGCGGTTACTAACCTGGTTGCTGAGCTCACGAAGTGATCGGCTTGGCTTACAACATCGCTGCCAAGCGACGACCTAACCCCGATGGCAAACACCNTTAAGGGTGTTCGGCATCTTGTGCTCACTTCCTTGCGTACGGATAACAGCTGCGTATGACTTAATATATTTTCAGGTACGTCACTGTCAGAGACATTTGTAAGCTCTGTATGTAGCTGCCTCGAGGGTGCTCGACCAATTTAACACAAAGTGGTGCGATTATCCCCTGTGCGCGGAGTGAGGGTCATCGACCCCGCACAACATAATCTGCTCGACCACAATTCTCCGAGACCGTGAGAAATAAAGGCGATGAAGATAAAACGCGGTTACTAACCTGGTTGCTGAGCTCACGAAGTGATCGGCTTGGCTTACAACATCNCGGGGGGGAGAGTGTGCTCATAGTCGTGCATGCCGAAGTCGTTAGATCATTGACCTCGCATCCCTACAAAGCCGGGACGGAGCACGCCGGGTTCTCACCGGACCAGGCTCTCACATCACCAAGCGCGAAGCGCCGTGAGATATTCGGCGAGTCGCATGAAGGGTGCGCTGCATCCTGCTAAGGGTTTTCGGCATCTTGTGCTTACTTCCTTGTGTACGGAGTGCAGCTGCGTATGACTCGATCTATTTTCGGGTACGTCACTGTCAGAGACATTTGTAAGCTCTGTATGTAGCTGCCTCGAGGGTGCTCGACCAA